CCCTCCCCTCAGCGGAGTTCGGTTCATGTAGTCTCAACATCTCAGAGTATCAGTGCAGATGCAGCTGGAGAGTCTGTGGGGAAATGTGCCACCTAGGGATCACCAGGGGACACTGCAGGATCCCTGAGGGGATTTGAGGTTGAGGGAGTTCGCAGATGAACTGAGGACACGGCACACATGCTGCATTATGAATATGGTTTTAAGTATTTTGTTCTGTTCTCAGTGATAATCTGTCGCTTTTCTTGATCCCTTATGTTGTGCAATTGAAAGAAATTACAACAGCTTGATATCTCATCCATGCTTCCAATGTGTCTTCCATCCCTTCTTGGACTGAAGTACCCCTCATGAACTCAAGTACTCTGTCCTCAGTGGGGGGAAAAATATTCAGAACCTTTCCTTAAGTAAATGTAATAACTCCACACTGAAACAATACTATGAGTTAAAGTCCTTCATTCAAAACCTTACTTCAGTATTAAAGTTGTCAACCAAACGAAGTCCAATCATTTTCTCTAAGCTAACAAAAGTATATATGAAGGTAAGGGAAAAACAAATACTAGATGTACTTAGTTACCTGCCCTTCATTAACACTACCCTTGATACACATATTTAAGAACAGATTATTGACTGGATGTTGTTAAACATGACTAGTTATAAAAACATAGATATTGTAACAACATTTTTCATACAATGAATATGTCATTAATGGTTGATGTTGTTACGCCCAGGTGTGGTAAAAGCTGGATGTTTTAGCCATTATTTATAATGTTTAGCTATGTCAAGCATTTTCCTTAGCTTTTAGCCATCTGTTTAAAGTGTAATCATCAAACTGTTAATCATATGAATGTGTTTATCTTCCTCCTTTAAGCACTACTTTGTAGGATTAAGGGAGATGTATTAGCCCAAAGGGAATATAATATGCATCACTATATTTAAGTTATTAATCACCTTGTTTGTTTTTTTAGCTTAGACTGAGCCCTTCAAATACGCTTTGTTAGAAATGACTGCTCTATCCCGTCGCCTAAACTTGATCACTGACCTTGCCAATAAATATGTCAAATTATTTATTTCACTCTTTCAACAGTAGAAGTTTGGCATTTTCTTAAACTGAGGATGTTAGACTGTCAAGCTCACACGTAGAGCAGGTCCAGTTTAAAAAGATGCTGATGCAAACATCCACCGTGCGAGGCAGTGTGATGGGATTATATTGTTTGCCTCTTCCAGTTCGCTCCCTCCACAGAGTCACCTCCGATTATTTACTCGGCTCTCTACAATAAATCAGATCCTGCAGCGCTAACTGCATTTCCCGTTTCCTCCACTTATGGGAAACATTGACAAACCGTAACGCTGTTTTCTCACCGAGATAACACAATACAGGACTTCAGATGTCCTTTTCAACTCTGTTGTACATGGATGCGGAGTGTTATTGCCTGATGTAGTGTTATGCAATTACGCAGTGTTTTATCAGAAGCGGTCATGCGTGTTTTTCGTGTCTCATGTCTTTCACCTCGTTTGGCGGAGGTTATGTTTTTGTGGGGGGCCGGGGCTCTCCGTTTGAAGGGCAGAGTGGTCAACCACAGTTTGGCCGATGGTGGTGTAGCGTGCAATTGAGCTCTGCTTGGCCTCTGGGTTTGAAAGAATAGGGTTTAGTCCTTGTTTTGCTGGTGTGGTCTGGGGCTTTTTCTCTTTTTTTCCTGCTCAGTCTCACTTATGGAGCCTCTGGCTGAGTCTGCACACAGGCAGAGAAAAAACTCCCAGAGTTCCACAGGGCTCTGTCCTGCTGCAGGGAGAGGAGACAGGAAAAGTTGAGTGTTTACTGAGCTCTTTATCTGAGACGGGGCATATCCTCCTCTACACCGCACCACTGAGGACATCAATCTCTCTAACAACACATTTGACATTTAGATAATCTTTGGGGGTACATTTTGGGCTTTATTAAATAATGTTTCTTGCATGATCTCATCAGTCAGCGCCTTCCTGAGCTTCTCAAGCGTTTGTTTAATATTCCCAGAAACACTTGCAGCCGCCCCACCCCTGTGGCCTCGTCCCCACCTCTTCTTCTCATTCAGATGTGGTTAACGATAGATCCAGGTCTCAGGATCCAGTGTTCCCTCCATCCAGCTTTTGCTATCATGGGTCTTATTTAGATCTACTGTTATTTAAATTACGACTGCTCATATTCCTCACACAAGCCTTAAATCTTGGTCTGGTTTAGAAGCCCCCTTTATTTGCACAAAGCTTTTCAACTTGTCTCCGCTGATCTTCCTTAACTGACGTCCGTCCTGCTGCCCTCTATGTTCTCACAGAAATTGAATGGCAGCCGGCATTTTCTGTAATGTGAGTGGAGCGTAACGCCGACTCAGGCAAGGGTGATGTGTCGGCCTCCGCCACCCCACCCCACCCCCTCCTGCCTCATGCTATCATAGCTCAATGTAATGTGAAGCTGGCTTTTTTCCTGAAAGAGGATTCCAGCATTAGTCTATCTGTCTTCACAGATCTGATGGAAAAAGGCCCTTTTCCCTGAAAAACCATGAAATACCTGACTGGCATGCAACAAGCAAGCGTCAGATTAATTATGAGAAAACATGGAGTTGGATGAATAAATGCCCACATTGTGTGCAATAAAGCCTCATAGCTGTGTGTCTTCTATTGAAAACTAGCTTGAATGCTGTCGAAGAAATTATAAATTGTCTTTTTCGGCATGGGGTGTAACTTGTTACCTTATATCTGCTGGATCAAGGCTGTATGTGTTGCATTTAGGCCATTTGGACTATTTTGTTTCAAACTCCACCAAAAATGAAACCTTGGGAAGGGGAACTCTTCTCAGTTATTCTGTGAGCTTCCCAGGGTGGCTGCAACACTGATGCTATTTTTGGAAGTGCTTTAAAGCCCCATCTTTGTTGTTAATTAAGAGCTAGTGGATTTTTTGCCAAGAGCGGTTCACACTTCAAATCTGATCAATCCGGGACAATACTAATGAGAACTGATTAAAAAAGAAACATGTAGTTCTCAGGTCTTTGTGAAGCTGGTAACAAACAGTACTTTTAAAGAATGCTCACACTTTCAGTTTGAATACAATGGTTGTGATAATAATAATAATAATAATAATAATAATACATAATATTTATATAGCGCCTTTCACGAAACCCAAGGTCGCTTCACAAGTCGGGCAGGGGGGGGGAGTAGGGGAAAA